TCCTTCCTCATTCCATGTCGTTGTGTTATTTTTGGTTGAACTCCATCACATGCTTGCCTGCTCCTCACTGCTGTTTATCGGCTGACTGAGAGACGCTAGCTCGGTCGCAGTCGATGGTGCTTTGCTGAGAGCGGCCATTAGAAACTCAACACCGCTCACCACAGGGCGACCTTGACCAGGACACGGCCAGGTGACAGAAATAGCATCCAGAGAAAAAGATGCTTCCTGGAAGAACATCGGCGAACGTGACAGAAAAATGGGTGGAGTGTTAACGTCACTCACTAACGGTCCGCTAGTTTCAGTAACTGAGGCAGCTGATGGATGGATGTTGATTGTTTTAGGTGAAGAGCCTGTTAGACGGGCTGTATTTACCGTCAACTTTGATAATGTTTGTTGACTTATTAGGGTTTAAAGGAGAATTCCAATTTTTTAATTCTCTTAATCATTTTATGGTTGAGATGTAAACAAACACATTCAGAGTGGTTTGGTGTGAAATGCTCTGTTCTAGAGAAACTTAGCGAGTCAGAATTGTTCACAGTGGTGGTGATAGGAGCCAGACATCCACCTCTAAAAGCTCCCACACATAAAGTTATTACATGATTTGGTTATGAATACACTACCTGATATTTAAGATTGCTTTATATTAGTTTTGGGAAGATTTTAGCCATAAAATCCAGTCATGATGGAGGGCTACAGGCAGGATGTTCTAAGGCAAAATAGTCCCTGAAGAAAACTCATTATTTCAGATTTTACCATCATCAACTTTCCATATAAAACTCAAAAGACGTGTGTAGGTTCACTGGTGGTTTTGGATAGTAAATAAAATGGCTATATTTGTGTTGTAATCATGGTAACCTCTGGTTCCTGTCACCACCTTTGACTACAATCAACTATTTTTCTGTATTAAACTTTGTCACTAAGTTGAAATGATGATGCAGTGCCTGTCAAAAGTTGGGTACACCAACCTTTTTGAGAATTTAATTAAATGAACTTGTTTTCTTATAAAAAATAACAAAAACTTATTAAAGCTTATGCCCTGCGATGGACCGGCGACCTGTCCAGGGTGTATCCTGCCTTCCACCCACTGACCACCGGGGTAGGCTCCAGCTTCCCTTGCAACCCTGAAGGATAAGTGGCTTAGAAAATTATGTGTGTGTGTGTGTGTGTGTGTGTGTGTGTTAAAGCTTACATCTTGTTCAGATGTTTAAAGGACGTTTGGCCAGCAGAAGTTTCAGTATGAGCTTTTAACAATAGTTTAAAAAAAGAAAAAAGGTCAAAATCTGCTTTGATAGTGAGGAAGATACTTTGATTAACATTAAGCTTTGGGCTGAAGATAAACACACACCAAGCCAAGCATTAACACAAAACTGATTTATGATCACTAAACGTTTATGGATATTTTTAGTTTAATGGCTGAAAATTAACTGTTAAAAAAAACATCTCTTTCGTCTTTTTTCATCAGTTTTCTTAAAAGCATATTGCCTAACAGTTACATGGCTGTTGCTAAGACAAATATAAATATTGAGAATGATGCCTATGTATGAATTTGTTTCCAAAACAAGCAGTTTTCATCATCATTAGAACATTATGTCATCCTAATTATGATTTCTACAGTTAATTAATGGAATTTGTGTCCTTGTGAAAGCTTTACAGCCTATCAGCTTTGCTATAATGAGGAAGGGTGGGGTTTAAATAGTTTAAATAGCCCTGTTTGGTAGAAGATTTTATGAAAAATTTGACTTTCCTTTATTTTGCAAAAAGTAATTTTGTATTTTACATAATGCAATAATGAACACACCCTCCTGCCTGTACTGTACAGAATTACCCCAGAAACAGAAGCAGGTCACTTTTCTGACCACTGAGCCTGCCACAGTGTTATAAATACATGTCGGCTTTACGCACGGTGTGAAATCATCCGTCCTGCTCAGTGACCTGCACGCCACTCTTACTCGCAAGTCTCTCTGGCTGCTGTAAAGCAGAAAACAAGGTGAATGTTTTGCTTAGACCTGTTTCCTGGTGGGAAAACTGCCCAGCACTCAGCTCTTTAGATAATGGGATTATATCTACAGTTGGAAAGCTGACAAGCATCTAAAACTGCTTAATAAACGAGATTCTCCATTACTTTCCATTTTTCCATTTTTCTGTCTGCTTTTCTACACTGATGTAGGTGGATGATAGCTAATTACATTTACTCGGTTCGGTTGGTTGGCTTAGTAGATCTCTCACATGATAATATTTTTACTTCTACTTGGGTATATTGGGGAGTAAAATAAACTACTTACATTTTAATCATGAAAGGGGAATTCCACTGAATTTTTAAAGTTTCTATATAAACAAAACAAATGGTTAAGCTGTAAACAAAGTCATTCAGAGTGGTTTGGTGTGAAATGCTTTGTTCTAGAGAAACTTACAGAGTCAGATTTGTTCACAGTGGTTGTGAAAGGAACCAGACGTCCACCTCCCTCACAGAAAGTTATTACATGAAATGGTGTTGAATACACTGCCTGATGTCTGAGACATTGTTTTATGATAGTTTTGAGAAAATGTTGTCCTTAAAATCCATTTGTGGTGGAGGAATACATGCAAGGCAGAATAGTCCCTAAAGAAACTTATTTGGCCATCATCAACATTCCATATAAAACTCAGAAGACACGTTAGGTTCATTGGTGATTTTGGATAGTAAATAAAATTGCTATATTTGTGCTGTAGTCATGGTGACCCCTGGTTCCTATCACCACCACTATAAAAGAATCTTAGTCAGTAAGACCCTGTTTATACCTGGTTACTTCATTTGTCTTGAGTATCAGGATTAAATCTGGATGAGGCCAATCCACATAAAAATGCAAGTGTAAACGCACTCAAGACGCATTCAGGACGTGGACTGAGATACATTTTAGCGGCGTAAACACATCTGTCTCTCCAAGACACATTCAACAACCATACCCCTCCCAGTACAACCCAAACCCCTCCCAGTGCAACCAAAACCCCTTGTAGTACAACCAAAACCCCTCCCAGTACAACCTAAACCCCTCTTAGTGCAACCAAAACCCCTCCCAGTACAACTAACCCCCTCCTAGTACAACCAAAACCCCTCCCAGTACAACCTAAACCCCTCTTAGTGCAACCAAAACCCCTCCCAGTACAACTAACCCCCTCCTAGTACAACCAAAACCCCTCCCAGTACAACCAAAACCCCTCCTAGTACAACCAAAACACCTCCCAGTACAACCAAAACCCTTCCCAGTACAACCGACACTCCTCCCCATGCAGTACCTCACTGGGCATCTGTGTCTGTGAGGAAGATAATCATGGAGGACACACAAGGTCGGGGATCGGATGAAATGAAATGCTTAATAGCAACATGGACAGACACTTCTGTACAAAACAAACTGCAAACAAAGAGGCTGAACAGATTAACAGTTGGTAATTAATTGCCACGTAACAAGCAAATTTCCATCAAACACAGCAATTAGATTTCAGCCCGAGTGACCGGAGACACGTTGACTACTAAGTGTAAATGCATGTGGTTAAAATCTTATCAGGATACAATCCAGATAGTAGACACATGAAGTGACCAGGTGTAAACTGGGTCTGTGTTTCTCTAGAATGGAGCATTTCACACCAAATCACTCTGGATGACTCTGTTTACGTCTCAACCACTGAATTATGGCAAAAAAATTAAAAAAAATCAGTGGGACTCTCCTTTACTGTTTACTTCTGAATTCTCTTTTTTTTTTTGCGTTTGTTGTTTTGATTCAGCTCATGTTCTGCATTATTGTTGTTCACACCTCTCACTATGGATGTTCCACTGCAGTTCTTTATGGGAACTCAGCACTCCAGGAGTTTTTGAGCTGCTGCTCTTGTACATGTGCGCTTGTCTAAGCTACCATATATTGGACAGAATATAGAGGATCTATGTTGGGAACTGAAACTGTGTCACACAGAAAATAGTCCCCCACTTTGGAGTTTTAGAGCTTCAGTTTTTGGATTTTTGGAGCTCTAATTAGCTGTAAAAGTCCAGAATCTCTTGGCAGTTTTTGACTTCTCATGCTGGACTTTATCTGCTGACTGTGGTAATTTGTAAAACACAGCTTTGGATTTTGGACCTTAAAAATCTAGTTACCACTCTGGTTTTGTTATACTATTCACATATAATAGCATAATTACATACAGTTATGTAATTAATATGCCATTTATATTTGGTATGATTCTGCACTTCAGACTTTTGTTGTGAATGGTTCTTTAAAGAACCATTAAAGAACGGATATATAGCATCAAAAAGGGTTCCACTGTTGTTAAAAGTTAGTAAAACTCTTCTGTTAAGAGTGCATTATTTTATAAATCTGTTGTTTTTATTTTTTTGTTCTTTCTTCTTATCCCTCTCCCAATTTGTTTATCTTTGATAGTATCATTCATTATTTTATATTTATAATAATTTAGTTTTTTTTTTTTCTTCAATATACTGTTTTCTTGGAATCTCAAATGGTACATAAAGTACAGTGTATTTATTTATTTATTTGTTTTTCATCTTGTTTTATTACTTTTTCTTTTATGTAATATCTTACATTAATATTCATTTCTTCATTCTCCACACTACTTGATTACCCTCATTTCACGCTGTGGTCAAGCCCTTTTTTTTGTTTTTTTATTTTTTTTTGGAACTTTTTTTTCTTATTATTATTTGTTCTAGCTTTGTGTTTGTTTATTTATTTTTGCTTCTGCTTGTTTTATCAGTGCAGTATTGGCACAAACCCTTATGGCATCACCTGGCTGTTGCTAGGCAACCTGTGCTATGACACACCAGGGATTACATCATACTCTTGGCTGCTGCTTTCTGCGACCTGTGTCCGTCTCTCCTGTCTGACCGGCCATGCTTTTCCAGTCCAGATGCAGTCCACGCTGCGGGCTGTGTTTACTCTGGATGCAGGCTGATGTTTGGTTTGAGTTCAGCTCCTGTGTTCATGCTGTACTCAGCTTGGTCACTGTGTTTTATTTTCCAGGAAACGGACCCTGATTTCAATCACTGTGCCGTGTGCATAGAAGGCTACCAGCTAAACGATGTGGTCCGCATTCTACCATGCAAGTAAGTGCCCAGATTTACGGATTAAACTCCTTAAAGGACCCAAATCATGGAAAGTAATAACATGGATGTTGTTTTGTTCTCTACACAGTCCATACAGTCAAGTAAACTACGCTGCAAAAAACAGCTCATTTTATATAATTGATTTTTATGATGTCACAAAAATCAACAGATTTACATATTTACATAATTGATTTCACATACTAAATAACATACAGCAGTTACTGTATAATTCATAGTAGATACTGCAAAATTCATAATAGATAAAAGAATAATAATCTATAGTAGATTAGAGTAGTACTAAATAATTCATAGCAGTTACTGAATAATTCATGGGATGGATGAGGTTGGTGTTAAAGTTTTTGTATGTGTTTATTAGTGCATATTAGTGTGAGTGTATATGTGTGTTTGTGAGGTGAGAGAGAGATGTCTCTGTTGGATTGGAGCTGTGACTCACTGCCCCTGCTGGACCTTCTCTGGTTTATTTTTAGTGCTGCTTTCACTGACCTCCAGGCAGATTTTAAACCATCTCACTCACACACACAGCTTAATACGCACGCACACACACATGCAGAGAAAGACACTTTTATTCCTCCTCAGATCATTCCCAGAGTTTCCAGCACCATCAGCTGGACACCAGGACAGAATCTTTGTAGGTCACCCTACCCAAATCACTCTCAGCACTGTAATAAAAACACCCTCCAAAATCACGCAACTAGTGCACTGTATTCAAACCCCCCCCCCAAAAAACACTCTCCAAAATCACTCTCAGCACTGTATTCAAAAACACTCTCCAAAATCACTATACTCAAAACTCTGTATTCGACCGCCATCCAAAAGCACTCTACCAAAACAGTGCATTAAAAAAACACCCTCCAAAATCACTCTATCCAAAACACTATTTATAAATGCCCCGCATTGTCACTCTACCCAAAACACTGTATTCAAAACGACTTCCAAAATCACTCTACCGAAAACACTGTATTCAAAACGACTTCCAAAATCACTCTACCCAAAACACTGTATTCAAAACGACTTCCAAAATCACTCTACCGAAAACACTGTATTCAAAACGACTTCCAAAATCACTCTATACAAAACACTGTATTCAAAAACGCCCTCCAAAATCACTCTACCAAGACACTGCATTCAAAAATGCCCTCCAAAATCACTCTACCAAAACACTACATTCAAAAATGCCCTCCAAAATCACTCTATACAAAACACTGTATTCAAAAATGCCCTCCAAAATCACTCTATACAAAACACTGCATTCAAAAATGCCCACCAAAATCACTCTATACAAAACACTGTATTCAAAAATGCCCTCCAAAATCACTCTATACAAAACACTGTATTCAAAAACACCCTCCAAAATCACTCTACCCAAAACACTGTATTCAAAAACACCCTCTAAAATCACTCTATATAAAACACTGTATTCAAAAACACCCTCTAAAATCACTCTATATAAAACACTGTATTCAAAAACACCCTCCAAAATCACTCTATACAAAACACTGTATTCAAAAACACCCTCCAAAATCACTCTATACAAAACACTGTATTCAAGAACACCCTCCAAAATCACTCTATACAAAACACTGTATTCAGAAACGCCCTCCAAAATCACTCTACCCAAAACACTGTATTCAGAAACGCCCTCCAAAATCACTGTATACAAAACACTGTATTCAAAACGACTTCCAAAATCACTCTACCCAAAACACTGTATTCAAAACGACTTCCAAAATCACTCTACCGAAAACACTGTATTCAAAAATGCCCTCCAAAATCACTCTACCAAAACACTACATTCAAAAATGCCCTCCAAAATCACTCTACCCAAATACTACATTCAAAAATGCCCTCCAAAATCACTCTACCAAGACACTGCATTCAAAAATGCCCTCCAAAATCACTCTACCAAAACACTACATTCAAAAATGCCCTCCAAAATCACTCTATACAAAACACTGTATTCAAAAATGCCCTCCAAAATCACTCTACCAAGACACTGCATTCAAAAATGCCCTCCAAAATCACTCTACCCAAATACTACATTCAAAAATGCCCTCCAAAATCACTCTACCAAAACACTACATTCAAAAATGCCCTCCAAAATCACTCTATACAAAACACTGTATTCAAAAATGCCCTCCAAAATCACTCTATACAAAACACTGTATTCAAAAACGCCCTCCAAAATCACTCTATATAAAACACTGTATTCAAAAACACCCTCTAAAATCACTCTATATAAAACACTGTATTCAAAAACACCCTCCAAAATCACTCTATACAAAACACTGTATTCAAAAACACCCTCCAAAATCACTCTATACAAAACACTGTATTCAAGAACACCGTCCAAAATCACTCTATACAAAACACTGTATTCAGAAACGCCCTCCAAAATCACTCTACCCAAAACACTGTATTCAAAACGACTTCCAAAATCACTGTATACAAAACACTGTATTCAGAAACACCCTCCAAAATCACTGTATACAAAACACTGTATTCAGAAACGCCCTCCAAAATCACTCTACCCAAAACACTGTATTCAAAAATGCCCTCCAAAATCACTCTATACAAAACACTGTATTCAAAAACACCCTCCAAAATCACTCTACCCAAAACACTGCATTCAAAAACACCCTCCAGAATCACTCTACTAAAACACTGTATTCAAAAACACCCTCCAGAATCACTCTACTAAAACACTGTATTCAAAAACAACCTCCAGAATCACTCTACTAAAACACTGCATTCAAAAATGCCCTCCAAAATCACTCTATAGAAAACACTGTATTCAAAAACACCCTCCAGAATCACTCTACCCAAAACACTGCATTCAAAAATGCCCTCCAAAATCACTCTATACAAAACACTGTATTCAAAAACACCCTCCAAAATCACTCTACCCAAAACACTGCATTCAAAAATGCCCTCCAAAATCACTCTATACAAAACACTGTATTCAAAAACACCCTCCAGAATCACTCTACTAAAACACTGTATTCAAAAACACCCTCCAGAATCACTCTACTAAAACACTGTATTCAAAAACACCCTCCAAAATCACTCTACCAAAACACTGTATTCAAAAATGCCCTCCAAAAAAAAAGTTTTGACTGGGAGGGTGAAGGGTGCGGGGTATTCTTTGGTTTTGCTCAGTACTTTATGTATGGACTACAATAGAATGCATTTGGCATTTCTTTGACATATTTGTGGTCTCTGCATACTTCAGTATGTGGAAGTACATTGAGGGTTACCCTCATTTACAATGCAGCCGAGCAAGTTAAGCAGGGATTGAAGAAGTTGAAATGGAATTTAATCAACTAAAACAAATCAAATTAAATAAATAAAAGCTCAATTGAGAAATAGACATAAAATAGCAATAAAATATGTAATAAAAATTAATGAAAAGTTAGGAAAAGAACTAACTAAGATAATAGACAATAAGAAAAACTAAAAATCTTAAAAATGAAATGATTCAATAAGATACGAAAGGAAAATAGAGCAGTAAAAGAACTAACATCAGGAAGTGGTTAGAAAGTTAAAAATTTTAAATGGTCGAGTGACACCAGCGAGCGGAGCATTAGAGTTCTGCAGTTCAGTAAAAACTCTCGGCTATTTCGAATCATCTACAACACATTGTCCATCAGTCCGTATAACCGTTTCACCATGCAATAAACCATTTAAGCATGCAGATGGTTCTTTGAGTGTTCTTTACTAAAGAACCCTTGAAGAACCATCTTTTTTTTCAGTTTACTGGTAGATGCATGTCTGTAGATTCCGTCACTGTAGTCGAGGATGGATGATAAGGTAATAATCCTTTTTGCATTGGGAAACACACCTTATTTCGCTATAAGAATCTGAGCTAGTTTAGATGACTAGCTGACTAGCTTATAAATTTGATATATATCCATGATGTTGATATTTACAGTGATAAAATCAATATTGGGGTCTCTGAAAAACAGCAAAACATTAGCATAGACAGCATAGAAAAACTCTTCTGTGACTAGTTTTCTCCCAACATTTAGCCTGCAGTTCATACTGAGCCTGTTTTAGTTTTCTGCTAAAGCTGCAGTGATTAAGATTTTAAACACTGCTCTCTAAGTGCACCATGAAACCTTCATCTCCACAGAGTTTCTTCTGTCTCACTCTCAGGAAAATATGACCATGTCTGAATCTGCTAGCCACCTCTGTCTGCTTCTCTGGCCTGATAGCCTCTATTATCTCTTCCACAGCAGAGCCAGATCTTTCAAAACAACCCCGGTCCAGCGGGATTAAATGAGGCTAAATGTAATCTCCCTAAGGCCTGTGTTACTGTTAGGGTTATGTTTATGAATGCATCACAAGTAAACCATTATTACGTTGCTTTGTGGATTATGCAATCATTATTTACAAAGCGCATGTTGGATTGTGAACAATGAAACCCAGCTGGTCGGTAAACAGAAGGGGGGCTGGTCTGGTTTAGCGCACAAAGCTTCGGCCTTCTTCATTTATGAGATTTCTGTTCTGTGCTCAACCTTAGCAAGCGTTGCACCCCCTGCTGGCCACAGCTGGAATTACTTTGGCATTAAAAATTAACAGCATGACTGAAAAAAAGTGAACAAGAGAGGAACCTTGCATAAGCTTCACTCTTTTCCAGTCACCAGTCTGATGTGGTTTACCCTTTTTATCAAAACTACATACACACACAAGAAACAAGCCACTACAACCCACAGAACATATAAGAGACTGGAAAAAGATTTCAGACAGACAAAAAAAAGTCAGTAAATGCATGTTTAATGTGGGACATTTTGTTCTCCCACGTCAAACATGCAGCTGCCTACTAACTCCTAAATAGCAGTGACATCAGACTGAAACTGCAGAGGAGAACAAATCACAAGCTGGTGAGTTTCAGGATGATCTAATCTGTCAGCATCAGACCACAAAGAAGAAGAAAGAAAAACTTAGAGTACAAAAACAAGGATACTGAGACTGATACTGAAGATAAATGAGAAGAGGAAGGAGAGAACAAGAGAAGGAAGATGGAAGAAGGAAGATGATGCTGAGCTAAAGGAAATGATTAACATGTGGTTGAGAGAGAAGGTGAAGTGGAGCAGATGTCCAATAATAAAAATAATAATAGTAATTTAGTTTTTTGACAATAACAGTGCTCATTAATGAAATAAGCCAGAGTTGTATATTACATATTATATATGTAACATATATTGTTATTATGTAATGCTTGTAGAATGTAAAACATGTTTTCAGCTGCGGAAATTCCTGATGAATATTGATGAGTAAAGGGTTGTATTGATAATACCCATCGATTGGTAATAATAATGTAAAGGCTGAGTAATGCTAGTTATATTGCACTGTGCCAAAGACAGAGACCAATTCATTCCTCATTTATTTAATCTCTAGTCTAAACAGCCATTAAACAGAAGTTACACGTTATTCAATGTCAAGAAAAAAAGCAGAAAACATTATTAACACAGAAGTCTCAGCAACTTAATATATATTTTAGTCCACTCTTAACCTTCATTACTTCCATTCTTTTCAGGAGATTTACTTTCAGTTTCTCTAAGAAATCTGCAGACACACCTCCAAAGTTCAGTCTTCGGAGTTAGTTTTGCGTTTTCTTCTTCTCACCAGCCCATTAAATGAAACTTAAGCTGACAACAACATCTTCTCTAATCACATTGCAAGTAATTTGTTTACTGCCCACTGGTGGATCCCAAACACAAAAGCAGATCTAAAGCTGAATCAGAAAATCACTTTTCTAACTGATTGATCAAACATTGCACCAGCCTGTCAGGCATATTTTGAAGATGTATGACACGCATTTAAGAATGTTAAAAACCAGTGAAAAAAAGTTGTTTATCTTTCTCCTTATCTCTGACCATGTGTGTGTGTGTGAGTGCTAGGCCTTCTGTTCCTGATCAATAGGCCAGAGCCAAGCTAATGGCACATCACTTGACCCAGTCAGAGCCATTCAATTTACGTCCTACTGCATTACCCCTCTGTGTCTAATGTATCCACTTTAAAGTATGTGTACGTACGTGACTTTGTGGGTGTCTCTGGTTCTTCATAACAGCTGCTATTTGTCTATACTGACTCTTTCAGGTCTACAGTAAAGCCTTTCTGCTTCTGCATATCTTTGCGTCATGTTATTTTTGACAGAGCCATCAAGTATTATCGCTCAATTCAGCACAATCTCAGCTAATGAGATACAGCACTCAATATATGCTCCTATACACAAGAACAGGAGATAATACTCCATAAACAAACTCTATAAACGCTCCTATACACTAGAATGGGAGATATTAGTCTATAAACGATCTTAATGAACGCTACTATACACTAGACTAGGAGATATTAGTCCATAAACAACCTCAATAAAGGCTTCTGTACAGATAGGATTTTAGCAGTGGGATGCAGTAGAATATGTCTGATTCCTTGAGCAGAACCCTAAATACTGAACTAGTGAGCTTGTTGAGACACCTTTTCAGTGACGTCACATGAGACAGATGAAAACAGGCCCACAATTTCCCATCATACAGAACATCCCAGAGATGGTTATTTAAGTCGATATCTCAGAAACTGCATGTTAGAGGAACTAAAAACTAACTAACTAACTAACAAAAAAGAAAATATTCTAAAAATGCCGTACCGCATGCTCATGTCACTACGGAAACACGAAGAGTTTTAGTCTGTAGGCGGAGCCTTATTTTAGCCACGCCCGTGCATTTTAGAGCAGGAAGTGGGGCTGCATCCCTGTCCCTCATGGCCACATGGTGAGCAGTTATATCCCATTGTTCTGAAGTAATTGTGTCACAAACTCTGAAAATCAATGTGGAACATGAAGAATAGTCATATTTCCTGTAGTTAAGTTCTGTTTTGTGTTTTAATGAAGAATATAATGATTTTATGTGTGTTCAAAGCTGTGTCTGTTGGTCATGTACTGGCTGTGTTTTTGGGTTTGAGCTAAAATTGTCACTACTGAAACAGTCAGTACTCAAACATTTGGTAACGTTTCAGTGTTGTGACTGTTTTGATAATAGCAAAATGAAATGTTCAATCATTTGTTTTAATGACTTTGAATCAGTTCAGTAGAGTGATCCAAATGCACTCAAACTGTCCAGTATCTAATAACACACACACACACACACACACACACACACACACACACACACAGAGCAGTCTAGTATATTTTCAATCTACTGAGGTGTGTGTGGGTGTGTGTATGTGTGTGTGTGTGTGTAGTGAACACCCTCATCATTAATTTATGCATTACTCTCTCTCCATCACAGCAAATAAAACGCTGCTGGAGTTCTTTGGGCCAATTGTTCTCCCTCCTCACACACACACACACACACACACACACACACACACACACAGACACACACACACACACACTTGTAGCACATTAAAGGCTCTTACGCAGCACTGGCACTCAAAGCTCTTTCACCGGGTCCACTAATGCTTCACTGTGGCACCACTTAAACTTCCAGCAGTGGAGTTATATTACAGGTGGACGCACCTCCTGGTAGAGCTTTCTTTTTTTTTGCTATTTTCCTTGTAATCACATCCCCAAACAGGGCTGTTCAGACCCCGCCTACCTCACAGAACACCTGATTGGCTCAAATACCATAACCAGGAATGCATATTCCACTTGTTAACAAGCCGCATGTACTAATTAGGATTATATAATGAATGACTTTATATTTTTAAAGCTATTAAGTTCATACCTCTCAAGTAAAGGGCAACATGCAGTTTTAAATTACGTAAAAAAAAAAAATTATTAGGAATGGAACGGTGCAACTTACTGTGTTGCGATTAGCCTTTTTGCTTGTGGCTGAAGAACTGGATTGGGACATGGACGTCTGTGCGTAATTTCTGTTTATTTGCAGAGTTTAATTTCTATATGCTAAACATATCCATATTGCTGCCTTGAAAGTCACACAGTTTGCAATTATTATTATTGTTGTTATTATTATTATTATTATTATTATTAGTTAGATCCCATTGTTTTGAAGAAAATGCATCCCAAAGTCCTAAAATAAGTGTGGAACATTAAGAACTGTCACATATTTGCTACTGTTACTACTAATAATAAAAATAAAACTATTGATTAAATGACCTCAAATGTGGAAATTACCACAATGACCACACTAATGACCGTATCTCTTCCTGTTTTCCAGGCATGTCTTCCATAAGATGTGTGTGGACCCCTGGCTGAATGAACACTGCACCTGCCCAATGTGCAAACTCAACATCCTCAAAGCTCTGGGCATCATGGTGAGCACCCACGAAACCACCAGGCCTCATTCGAATAAATGCAAATAAACAGAAACAGTAAACAGTAACAAGACAGTATCTTTCTCAAAACCATGTAAGCTAGTTTGAAGAGCAAAGTTGGGTCCAGATTTCTCCTGGACACCTCCAGCCATCACATGAATTTATTAAACTCCATAATCAGTGGCACCTGATTTAACATAATGAAGTGTTGATTTGATAAAGCTGGTATTGGATTAAAAACTACAAATAATACTGGAATTCCTTGAGGAGAGGGCAGGAAATGGTCAAACACATTAACATACATAAAATCACTACATATAGTTATGGGCTCATTGATGTTACCAATGCCCCATTTAAACAGGATTGTTTATTTATAATTAAGGACTGCTTATTTCTAATTATTTAACACTGTCAAATTTCTGTCCCACGTCTGTAGTAAACGGCCAAACAAACGCATTCCGTCCGCTAACGTTTAATTGAGGGTCTGCAAGATTTGTCTGAAAACTGTCATTGCTAAAGACTGCAATACAGAATGCATTAGCATCTAAAAATGAGCACCCTCTAATCACTTCACCCCAGATAGCGAGCATATCGGACCACCCAGATTATCGTCCTGCGTGCCAGGTCTAACTAGTTTTTAATCTCCTCAGAAAAATTTTATGTGCACACGGCTGTGTTTTTAGAAAATAAACTAAGACATTTACAAGATATTTTCAAACAACTGATATAACTGACTAGGCCTTATAAAAAAGGATCTTGTTGAAAATGTTGTTGCAGACACTCTGCTAGATTGGCTTTATTTATGGTGATGCTGTTAAAATTATTTGCGAAATAATTGATAAAGGATAATGAAAGACAAAAATGAAGGAAAAATAAGTAACTTGGTTGTGAGTGGAAAATGAACAGTGAAAAATGGCATTTTATCTAATACTCTACTTAACCACCATTTGTTCGGGAAAACCCTGAACAAAAAGCCAGCAGGCTGCCAGCTTTGCGGTCAGGGCCTCTTACTAACTGGGAACATGCTGTTGACCTCCACTGTAGAATTAAATGTTTTTTTTGGCCTATTGTGCTGGTTATGGGTTCTTTTTCTGTCTGATGTGTTACTCAGTGAGAACTAGTAAAACTACATGGCTGCTCAGCGACAGCTAACAGCTGCAAACACCACAGAACATGTTTGTTTCACTGTCACTCAAATTTGTGCTCTCCAAGCCTGCACTGTGGTGTGTGGTCCTTTTGGCCTGCTAACTAAGCTAGTAATTGCAGCTTACTTGCTACAGCTCCAAGCACCACAGAACAGGTTTGCCCTTCAACACCAATCACTCTTAAAGATGAGTCATTATCTGGGCTCGTGTCAGTCAGACTCAAACCTGCATGGTGGTGTGTGGCATTCTTTGGACCTGTAGTCTCCTCGCTGAAGTACTGTTGGGTTAGCTAAGAAGCTACAGATCCAAACACCATGGAGAGATTAACAATATAATTTCTTCTCTTGATCACTGAATGCAAGTATTAAAGTATTAGCTCAAATTGGCAAAATTGGCTGATCTTGCTTCCTAGCTATGTTTGATTAGTAGCTAATACCGGTTGTTCTGTTAGAATGATACACCACACAATAGTACACTAGATTAATGTGTTGAGTCAAGTAAAACTACACAAGACTGTATATAAGCAAAAAGAAATATACACAAAAAACACTCATTCTGCAAGCAGACATGCTGAAAAATGTAGAATCAGCAACATACATAGTTAACAAATCCACCAACATTACTCAGCAGTGCCTTCTAAACATGTTAGAGTACCAAATTAAAAATAAGAACTTTTTTTACTTTCATAAGCCTCTAGCACACTAATTCACTTGTACTGGGAAACGACTGTGAAATTATTGTAGACCTAAATAATTGGCATCATTTTTAAGTCATAATTTTTAAAGACAATTATGTAATAATTGTGTCCCTTTAGTCACTCAACTTCACTCCTACAGATTTAAGTCATTATCATCTAAACTTGAGTTTGAGCCAGAAATAAACCTGTTCTGTGGAAAGTAGAGCAGTTAGCATGCTAGCTAAGCTAATGCTAACCAGCTCCTCTCTTCTAGTTAGCAGCACTGTGTAACATTTAGGTTTTTTTTGGTTTAGAAATGGCGCAGGATGAAATGGAACAAACCGCTTATGGCGCTTTTACACAATTTTATGCCCCACACACCCAGCTTCTCTTTACATGGGGTTAATATTACATGATGGGTGGGTCGATAACAATAGACCAGAATAAGATCTTGTTCTATTAACTTCCATTAAAGGTTAATAATGTTTGTCATTCACCTGTAAAGTTAGGATTAGTTTTTGGAGATAGAAGTTTTTGTTCAACAATATATTGTAAACATGACAGTATAAGACTATAGATGCTGGACAAGCATTGTAAGTAGGTGCTAAACTGTTATATTGAGGTAGTAGTTTTATACTTATAGTGTCTGACGACAGTCTAGTAACAGTAGTACTATTATAGTACACATGATAATTGCATATTTTGTACTGATTATATGTTGCACTGAAACAGTCTAAATTAGACTGTGTGGTATAGTAGACACAGTAACTATTGCATAATGTAGTCCTGATTGCGTGAATCACATGTTGCTGATAGCAGTTCCATAATGACTGATTGATTGATTGAACGATTGATTGATTGATTGATTGAACGATTGATTGATTGATTGATTGATTGAACGATTGATTGATTGATTGATTGAACGATTGATTGATTGATTGATTGATTGATTGATTGATTGATTGATTGATTCTTTGAATTTGCCACATGAAGTGCCGGTAGTAATTGTTTCTAGTGCATCAAGATGTTGTAGTACAATACACAGTAAACAATGTACAACATTTAATATTGAAACACTACAAAAAATACACAGTAATTTTATCTGTGCATTCTTACAGAGGCTAGAAATATAACAGACAGCCTATAATGATATACACAACTCAGAGGAGTTTTGTAACCTTATCAAAGTAAAAAAAAAAGCTGTTTTTGAATGAGTGGAATCTATAATTCTCAGCTGAAGGAAGAGCTGTTCCAAATGTCTTTGGAACTCATCAACAATACCTTGCAGTTTATTGTGGATTTTAATATTTATGTGTCCATACAAAACTCTAATATATCACATACTGTATGATTAGTTTTAGCAGAAGGGGTCCGGTAATGTAATCTGTGTTTGATTTGACTGGCCGATTCGTCTGGATGAAGGATCTCTGTAATTTCCCCAAATTACCCCAAACAGCCTGGATCCAAACATCATCATACGGACTTTTACCTCAGCATTATGTGACGCTGCTGAACAATACCAACATGCTGTCCGACTAAATGTTAAATACGAATGGTTATTGCACATTGCAATCCCAAATTGTGTGAGTTACATATTACAAAGTCCTAACTGTGTGCAAAGAAGAAGGAAAAAGTAATCAGACTACATAAATATGTAAAGAACAATAAATAAATTAAGCATTTATTATGGTAAACTCATATCTATGGTTTGTTTCTCCTACCGAAATGCGATATTCTTTAAATTGTGTCGAAAAAGGCTTCATTGCTCGACAAACTCCAGTGCACATTAATGACACCTGGTGGTTAAAAGCAAAAACAGCAGCTGTAAATCTGCTCTGTTCTGGAGGATGTTTTAGGACAAAATCCAAATCTTTGTGATTTATTTGATAATGATTTCTTTAGTTTCTAGAGCACTGAAGGTAATTGGTAACATAAACATGATGCTAGGACATGTTCCGTGATTTAAACAGTACATCACTTTAAAGGCTCAAGATAGCAAATCTCCTGACAAACTCATGTATAACCTTATTCACGTGTAGCTTTGCCCTAGTCTGTCACATCCTGTCCTAGCAGGCTTTAATCAAGATTTTAGTGTTTGGTATCGGCTTGAAACCATGGACACCTGCACCGCCTCAGACGTCATTCATCAGGTGTGTTTTTGGAACATTAAACAAGCATAACTAGCCAATAAACCAATAAAGTGATTCTGACTCTATAGCACTTTGAAGCAGCATCTCCTTTGACCACTAGAGGGCAGTACTGCATTACTTTATAAACAGGCATGCAAACATCAATGCAGCGCTTTAAAGTAAAGTGGTTGTTTTTTTTGACACATGCTCTGGAGCTTCAGTATCAAAGGTAACATCATTAACTTCTTTACTAGAAGAACCTGCACTGCAAAACATGATATCCTAGCAAGTGAAAACATCTTAAACCTTTTTTAAGGGTTCTTTAGTAAAAAGAATGGTTCTATCTAGAACTCTGAGTCCTATATAGAACCATTGCATGCTTAAATGGTTCTTTTCACAGCCAAATTGTTCTTCAGACTGATGGAGAATGTGTTGTGTATAGTGTGTATAGTTCTATATAGAACTTTTTTGAAAATGGTACTATATAGCAACAAAAAACTATTGTTATGATGTAAAGCTTGCATACAACAAAAGAACCCCTTTTGGTGCTATATAGAATCATATACAACACATTCTCCATCAATCTGAGGAACCAAAGGACCATTTAAGTATGCAAATGGTTCTATATAGATCTCATGATTGTAAATAGAACCATTCCTTTTACTAAAGCACCCTTCAAGAAGTGTGTAGTCAATATAGCTTATGTTTCTCATTATTAGACTGTTGTAATTACTTATAACAAGTACAAATATATATATATATATATATATATATATATATATATATATATATATATATATATATATATATAAAATATAAATAGGTTGAATAACCATAATGTCAAATATTAAATATATTGACTATGCTTAAGATATTTTCACTTGCCAATATATATTTTTTGCAGTGTGCATTGAGGGTATTGTAGTAGTGACTGGTACTTGAAAGGCTCGGCTGTTTATAAAGTAATGCAGTGCTGCCCTCTAGTGGTTAAAGGAGATGCTCCTTCAGAGTGCTATAGAGTCAGAGTTACTTTATTGGTTAAGCACAATCACAGGCATGAGGGATTCTTCTTGGCCAAAACAGACCGTATGTAAAACAAAGCAAAATTGCAAACAAATAAACATGATTTAAATATTAAATATTATCAAAAGTGAAAGTACCTTTCCCTAAAAACAATAGCACACACTTTTAAAAGATGTTTTTTTCACTATATCAAAACATTTGCCTGTTTGAATGGTTCTTTGCATGGTAAAATCGTTCTTCAAAAAATCTGCTATTCTTACAGCGTCAAACTTGTGGTGCCATATAGAACCATTTTTAAAAAAGGTACTTTATAGAACCACAAACACATTCTCCGTCAATCTGAAGAACCATTTCACCATGTAAAGAACGCTTTAAGCATGCAAAAGGTTCTACAAAGAACTCATGGTTCTAAATAGAACCATACTAAAGAACCCTTGAAGAACCATCTTTTTCAAGAGTGCAGTAAAAAACACTGTACTTAACTACGGAGAAACTTATAGAACTATAGTAGAGCCTGAAGATAAAGCACTAATCTCAAGCTAATGTGTTAGCTCCAAGATAAAGCACTGGTCACAAGCTAATATGTTAGCTCCAAGATAAAGCACTAGCCCCAAGCTAATATGTTAGCTCCAAGATAAAGCACTAGTCGCAAGCTAATATGTTAGCTCCAAGATAAAGCACTAATCCTAAGCTAATATGTTAGCTCCAAGATAAAGCACTAGTGACAAGCTAAAATGTTAGCTCACATATAAAGCACTAGTCACAAGCTAATATGTTAGCTCACATATAAAGCACTAGTGACAAGCTAAAATGTTAGCTCACATATAAAGCATTAGCCACAAGCTAATATGTTAGCTCAAAGATAAATCGTTAGCCACAAGCTAATATGTTAGCTCCAAGATAAAGCACTAGTGACAAGCTAATATGTTAGCTCACATATAAAGCATTAGCCACAAGCTAATATGTTAGCTCCAAGATACGGCACTAGCCACAAGCTGTCTTAGCTCCAAGCTAACAAGCTAGCAACACACTGATATGTTAGCTCCAAGCTAAAGTGGCATAAAAATGTGCTGTTTTTAGGTGGTGCTGAATCCAGTTTTCCCACCTATATTGCGCTTGAACGGCCAACAGTCATATTTACAACTGGTAAACTCAGGATTTCAGATGATACACGAGTTTACAAGATGGAATGTGTAACACGACCTTTAACACTGTACACGAGTGAAAAACACTTAACTTGCAGCAAATGAAAAAATATATAACTGACACACTTCCATTATATCTATGTGCCCCTTTAACAAAGCAAAGAGAAAGCAGGATGGTATTTTCCGGACTTCCATGCTTTTCTTTCCGTGTAGTAGTATGTTTCTAATGCACTCATATGGAGTTTAGTTGCATCTGATGAGCACCGAGCACAGAGTCAGATAACAGATTGTCTCCAGACAACATACTTCTGCACGTTTTACTGCACAGTTACTGTTTATTTGCTCATTATAACGTATTGGGGGAAAGAATATTAATATAAAATGTGACTGGTGAAAAAGTTAGTTACACTTTTTTATTTTATGTTTTATTTTTTCTTTTAAAATCAAGCAAATAAAGAGTGGTGGTGTATGAAAATGTGCTGAAGTGTGTTCTCTGTGGAGAAGGTGTTAAATTATTTTCACCTAGAAAATCAACAAAATGTGTCATTTGATTGATTTGATGGTGACTCTACAGGAGAAGGAAAATTGTTCTTAGTTCTGTTCCAGGTAATTTTGGAGCAATTCTGTTGATCCGTTCATCATGAAAAAAAAAGAATAATAATAATAAAAAAATGACACAAGGTCATTTTGTCCCAGGAGCGATTAACGAGTTAGTTCTGGGTGTCGTTGCTGAAGTTTTTCCACAATTAATGTGTAACCTGCTGTAAAAACGCTGCTTTAACAACAGTTTGTGTGTGTGTGTGTTTGTGTGTGTGTGTGTGTGTGTGTGTGTGTGTGTGTGTGTGTGTGTGTATGTGTTACAGCCCAATCTGCCATGTGTGGATAACGTGGCGTTTGATATGGAGCGTGTGTCGCGCAGTCAGAGCTCCAGTCAGCGGGGGGCGCTGGTGGACTTGTCGGAGAGCGTCAGTCTGGAGCCACTGCGGCTCTCCAGCTCCACCCAACTGCCCTCCGACTCTGAACTGACCACCCGCACCGACATCAACATCGCAGTGACCAGTAAGAGTCCACAGCATCCTCCCTGTTTCTCTCTCTCGCTCTTCTTAATTGCTATCTCTCTCTCTCTTTGTATCTCTTTCTTTCCTTCTCTCTCTTTTTCTCTCTCTCTGTCTTTCTTTATCTATCTATTTCTGTCCTCCCTCTCCTCTCTCTCACTTCTCTTATTTTATGTCTCTCTATCTTAATCTCTCTCTCTGTCTCTCTCTCTGTCTCTATCTTTGACTCTTTTTTTACATTTCTTTTTTTGTCTCTTTTTATCCCTCTCAGTCTCTCTCTTCTCTCTCACTCTCTCACTCTCTTCTCTTTTCATGTCTCTCTCTCTTTATCTCTCTTGTTGTTTGTTCTCTCTCTCTCTCCTTCCCACTCGCACTCTCTCTTCCTCTCTCTCTCTTTCTCTCGCTCTGCTTCCTGTGTATTGACCCGTTCATGTTCGTGTCATAGCCTTTAAAAAAGTCAGTGTTTCAGGTAATTGAAGGGTTAGAAAGACAGTTTAAAATCTATTTCAACATTTAAAATGAATGAAAAGAGTATAAACGATTCATAAATATGAACAAGCTTCCCTGTGATTAAGCGCTGTCTTATTAGCTGACCGCTCAGCAGGCTCCTGCAGCAGCGCTCATTGTTGTTGTGGAACAGGAGAACTTCGCAAATTTGCATTACCAGCAGAACATGTTGTTTCAGCATGTCTTTTTGTGAGTAGACAATAAAAGCAGTTCTTCATATTAACGGGGGTTTTACGCCGCTCTGTGATCGGGGTTGGGCAGTAGCATCACTGTAGTACTGAAGCTATTAGTTTAAGTCTGATGATATTTTCCAAATCAATTAAAATGCGAATAGAAACAGAAAGCAGTCATTAGTCTTTTACAGATATTTCCAGCTTCTTACAATCGCTGAGAAGCATTTTTCAGTGTTTTCAGCTCTTCACACCGCTCTCTCCAGAAACACAGCAGTCCACTGTGTACCCAGAATGCTCTACAACTACAGAAACAGAAGCAGACACATCTCAAAATACGCGGTAGAAAAGCTCCAAAATTGCCTGGAATAAAATGTATTTATATTCATTTAAATTGAAAGTGAAAAAGATTTTTGCCGTATGAACTTGACTCCTCCTATAAACTTAACATTTTGGAATACAGTTTGTTTAATTATCTATATATTCAAGACAGGGAAGACAGAATTGTATTGTATTTTCTTTGGACAGTGATGATTTGTTAAATTTTGACATAATACAACTGCAGATAATAGATTAACCAGTTTACTGACTACTATGTTAAAAAACTGCCAGTTGCACTTTTTTACAGTATAGTCGAGATTCTTCTTTTGGGTGTTTTCCAGTTAAGCTCGTGCTCACACTTTGAGGTGAATCTGATCTACCCATCAGAGGCTTTTACACAAACTTGTGGAGTCCAGCTCGAGTGTTGCGCTCTCATTAAAGCAAAAGGCAGGGCAGGGGGGGGGGGGCGCAGGGGGCATCGGCATCTTTCAAAGATTCTACTTTCTACTCAGATTGTTAAGCTGATAATGTCATTTGACAACGTTTTTGTGCTAAATTAGAAGCGAATTATGCATTTCCGCTAGTCATTCCTGCTGTATTGCCTACATTCAAGAAAAGCTACACTGAAAAAATATATCTTGCTTTAACATTGTAGCTTAACATGCTATGTTTTTAAAGTTTTCCCGACACTGCCTATGTTTCTGTGTGTGTGAAGCGGATCTGCAGCTGCCGCTCTCTTTCATTTTTGTCTGCCTCTTCATCCTCTTCCCTCCGTGTGGTCTGCTGAAGCGTGTCTCTCTTTTGCCTTCAGTAGGGGGCGCTAATTCTCTCCCTGCAGGTCGTTTCTTCTCGCTCGCTCTTCGTTTTTCTCTTCGTTTTCTTCCTCTTTCCGCTCTGCCGTGATGATTCCGCTGACCCTGGCCTCGTCCACTGCGGACAGTGACCCCTCCTCCTTTTACTCTGTTGACAGAAGAGTGGTTTATTGTGGCCAGTTTCGGCGTCCTCAGCGCTCTGACGCTGTGCTACATGATCATCAGAGCCACCAGCAACAACAACCCCAACACTGAGTGAGTTCAGCATTAACACCAGACTACAGCACTTTAACACGGTTTACTATTTAATGATTTAAAATGATCGTTTGGTGAAAATCAAATTTACTTACATTTTTTCCCTTAACCCAAATGTGGTAATTCAGCCGATACATGTTTGAAGTATGAAGATTGTTTCTTTAGTTTTTTTACTAGAGCTATGAGGCTAATGTACCTAACTAGTAATGTTAGTTTATATGCATCAGATAGCTAACATGCTAACTGCCTGCCTAAATAATCTCACATTTGCCTCAAACTGTGTGGAGTTGTTCAGTATCTCTAATAGACTTGATTGTGTAGTTTCTGATGCTGTATGATGCACTGCAGTCTACAAACATGGACTGAAGTACATTAGCATAACTAATAGCTAATAACATAGCTAAAAACAATAACAAGCATCTTTATAGGCTACAGTTAGCACCATGCTAATCGGTGGCCCTGGTGAAACAAACAGCATAGACAAGCATGAATTCCATGCTGGTCTTAACTGATCTAAGATAGTTTATTCTGGTTTATGCTGGTCTGGTGCTGGTGTAGCTTTCAATACATGTTATAATAATAATTTAGTCAAATATCTTTTGCTTCTCGCTTTTTTAGTTTTACCACTGGAGCTCCGAGGCTAGCATAGCAAATAATGTTAGCTTACGTGCATCAATTAGCATGGTGCTAACTGCAGTTGTTCAGTATCTCTAATAGACTTGATTATTTGGTTTCTGACACTGTAACACACAATGTAAACTATAAACATGGACTAAAGTGCATTGGCTCAGCCAAACACAGTATCATTTACCATTAAGCTATAATTTGAACTGTACTTTAGTCCAGTAGCTAATGTCTTTTCACAATTACATAAAGGGGAACTCCACCATTTTGGTTTGGTTTGAAATGCTCTGTTCTAGAGAAACTTACAGAGTCAGAATTGTTCACAGTGGTGGTGATAGGAACCAGACGTCCACCTCTAAAAGCCCTCACAGAAAGTTATTACATGAAATGGTTATGAATACTCAGCCTGATGTCTGAGACTTTCTCTCAGGGTAGTTGTGTGACAAAGTTTTGGTCTAAAACATATTTTAATCAATGTATTTTAATCCATTCATTCAGGGATACATGCAGGGCACTGTGAGGCAAAATAGACCCAAAGAAAGCTTATTATTTCAGATTTTTCACTATTTTAACATCATCAATCCATCCATATAAAAACTCAGAAGACACATGTAGACTCACTGGTGGTTTCAGATAGTAAATAAAATGTCAATATTTGTGTTGTAGTCATGGTGACCCCTGGTTCCTATCACCATTTCACACCAACCCACTCTGAACGACTCCGTTTACATCCTAACGATAGACCCAAGTAGCAGTTTTGAAAATTGGTGGAATTTCCCTTTAATAACTGAACTTAGGCTTTGTTTTTTTTAGTTAAGTGGAAAATTCTGTAAATTAGATTTTTAAAATTTATTGCTGATATGATATTGTAATTGTTTTAAGATTAATATTTTGAGCAAATAAACACTTCGTAGAAAAATGAGTTTTGCACAGTATCGTATATTCAGTTAAGTGGGACCCTCTTCAAGGGTTCTTTAGCAAAGGGTCTCTGGTTCTATTTAGAACCATGAGTTCTACACTGTTAAAAAAGATGATTCTCTGTGGTTTCTTTAGTAAAGAAAATGGTTCTATATAGGACCATGAACACTCAAAGAACCCTTTGCATGATCAAATGGTTCTTTGCATCATGAAATCGTTCTTCAGATTGATGGAGAATGTGTTGTAGATGATTCTGTGTAGCACCAAAAAGCATTCTGTAATCGTTACAGTATCAAGCTTGTAACAATACAAGAACCATTTTTGGTGCTATATAAAACTCTTTTCAGAGAGGTTCTTTATAGAACCATATACAACACATTCTCTGTCAATCTGAAGAACAATGTCATGATGCAACAAACCCTTTAATCATGCAAATGGTTCTTTGAGTGTTCATGGTTCTATATAGAACCTTTACTAAGGAACCCTTGAAGAATCTTTTTTATGAGTGTATTCATGCTTAATTGGTTCTTTGCATGGTAAAATGTTTCTTCAGATTGACACAGAACATATTGTATATGGTTCTATATAGCACCAAAAAGTCTTCTGCTCAATGTCAAGCTTGTAACAGTTGAAGAACTTTTTTTTGGTGCTATTGCCTATAGAACCATTTTCTAAAAGGATCTGTATAGAATTTCACCATTCAAAAAATCATGGTTTTGTATAGAATTTAAAGTTCTAAATAAAACCATTCTCTTTACTGAAGAACCCTTACTATGTACTCAAACCATAGTAAGTATTCATCATTATTATTAGAGAAATCCTGCTGTGTGTTTATTAAAGCTGTTGAATGTTACAGTGCAGTTCTGTTTGCTCTGTTTCAGGTGGGAGATGGAGTGAAGACACTGCAACCATCTGACATAAACGTGATTTTAGATGCAGTAATTCCATAATTTTATATTTGCACTTAAAAATGAACCACATATTCAACTTGGGTCATCTTGAGTGAAACGGAGTGAAGCTTTTCTGCTTTCTGATTTTGCTTTCCAAGACTTCATATTGCTTTTCTCAACAAATCAGGGCTCTGATGAGTCTTTTGAAGCAGTATTAATAGTGCTGATAGTGCTGACTGTCACCTGCTGTATAAAACATCAGGATTTATCTGGAAATGTTACAGCTTTTTACCCTGTTGGCTCCTTTGTGCCATAATAAATCACCCTGTTGTTCATGACTGTTTAGTAAACAGAGCTGCGGAAAAGATGAGATATTGAAAGAAGCCTTCCAGCAAACGTCTTTCTGATTTAGCTGATTCTTTGTGCCTTCTGTAAAAAAAATGAATGAATTGCAGATTTGAAATAAAAGCTCTTCTGTACTAAACTGAGCAGATCTGTATCACTTTGTGCATTCATGGATAATTAGTTGATATTCGGAGATGAAGTTGGTTTTATTTGCATTGTTGCATTGTTAGCTTTGCTAACTTTTGATTGGACGACAGACCCAACCAGTTCACCCAAATGTTCTGCTATTAGTGATAATAATATAATATTTTTTTATGTGTGTAGCACTTTTCATAGTACTTAATTGACTTTTGAAGTGATAAAAGTTTATTTAATGATTTTGACATGGAGAAAAAATTAACCATAAATTGTGGCCTGTTCAAAAGTTATAGCACATTTTACAATCAAAATGTTAAACTCAGCAAATAAAAAAAACTTACGTACTAAAATTTGCATTAAAATTCACATTTAAACGTATTCTGTAGAGCATATGTTAACTTATTTTAACTAATCTGACCAGAGGTGTTTAAACATTTACATATAACTTTTGTTCGGGCAACAGCTGTGCAACATTAACGGGGTTAATGGTTCACTTAGTGACATGAACGACTCTGATTGTTTTACCTGGAGAGGGTTCAGCAGGGCTCCAAACCTCCCCTACTGTTTATGAAGAAACATGAATGTTTATCTTCTAAAGAAGATGTTATTTGATGTAATGATGATTAAATTCATATTAAAACACAAAGAGGAAGTCAGTGTGGATTGAATAATCAACTAAAAAATGCAGTTTGTGTTTGAAGCAATGATTTTTTGGTGCAGACATCACAAATCTGTAAACTAGAGCTAGGTTTTATTTTAACAGGACTATTATTTTATTCAATCTGAATCTTCAAACAATCTCGTATTGCCCATTTTGAGAATGTTGCAAAGTATTAAGAATATTCAACTTATTCCTAGACATTTTTTTACCAGTTTTAAATAATTTTATTCAGTTAATTTATTTATTTATTTATTTTTTTTTTTGCATTAACATTACTTAAAATGAGTAAGAATGTCTAGAAATGATTGGAATAATCTTACAGCAGTTGTAAAACAATCTCCTAATAAGAACTGTTAGATATATTGACTATATATTGATATATAGAGATATATTAGGATGATTTCAGTTCCCAAATGAGAATTTGTTTTGCACTGTATGCCTATAAGAATAACATTTTGCATTTTTTTTTTTTCCATATAATTACTGAATAATAAGCCTTGGGATTTCATAAACTGGAATTTAAAGTTAAAAAGTTAATAACCAGCAAATCACAAGCTCCAAAATAAACTCCCCAAAGAAGAAACGTGGTATAAAATTCAAATCCCTTGCTGCTTTTTCTTTTTTAACATGGTGTCATTTACTGTTAAATACTTACTTGGAACTTTTCTTGGTTATAAATTGTACAGAGTGCTGTCTTGTGTTGCCTTTGTTCAGTTTTAGTGTTGAACTAAGTCTGTGGAGTCTGTTCACTCTCCTCTGTCCAGTTATGTTTGTGCGTAAATGAAGGAGATCAGAATAATGGTATACATGCTGAATAATCTCATTACTGGTTAAAATTCAGGTCTCTTTATTGCATTTCTTGAAATCGAACTCAATATACGAAATCATAATGAGCTGTTTGCACTTGAGTAATTGAGTAACTGCCAATATCAGACAGTATCTAATTATTAATGTAAATGTGCTGTTGCATATTTAACTGCCTGTAGAGATTTTACACATTTACTACGTGCAAAATTGTTGCTACGATCGTATTTTGTTGAGCTGATGCACTATTTCTGTTGCATTAATGTACTGAAGCTGCATTACAGCTGGAATTAAAAGGCTTGCAAGTAATGGAATAGAATAGAAAAGAATAGAATCCATCAGATGTTCATTCTCATATTATTTTGCAACATTATAATGATTTCTTTTTAATAATGTTGCTCTTATATGATATTGTTACTATTTGTGATGAGAATATTTTAATCAGTTACTTAAAACACTAATCCACTGTTGGGTGTGAGTTAAGGAGTGTTTAATGAATAAATTATTAATAAAAAATTGCAGTCATTTGTTTGTGTGACGAGTATTTTAAGAGGCTTTAAATGTGGCTCAGCCAGTCAGATTTTAGAACCGGAACGTTTTTGCAGTTTTTATGTGCCATTTCAGACGAAACTTTTGACTCCCTTCTTCTTCTTCTCCTCCCTCAGGTAGCCATTTCTTCAGCCGGAGCTCCGGCTCCCCCCGCAGCATGGTGTGTGAGATGGAGCTTCCTGATATCCAGGCTTCTCTGGACATGTATGACGAGAACAAGTCATGAGGACACGCTTCCTTATGACCTTTTTGCCCCCCTGTGCCCCTCCTAAGTCCCAGCCTGAGGGGGCAAATACTTTCCTACTGTAAACAGAAGTTTGGACAATAACAACAATGACAATGGCGACTGATTTTATTGCTGGAGAATGTACTTCTGACCAGAGGGTTTGGGCTGGACACGAAAACCCTCCTTATACTTCCAGACCTTTTTTCTTTCTTTCTTTGACATTCTCAGACTCTCTTTTTAGAGAGTTTGTTTGTTTCTTTGCTCTTTTTGATTCCAATGCTGTTGTCTGTCTGACTGAACCTGTTCCATGTACGTTCTCTGCTGATTGTTTTTAATGTCTGATTGCGTATTTGGCTGTGACGGACAGTCTGGACTGGTGGACGGATACATGAGCCGCTTTCGTAGCTAAAAGCTTCTGAACTCTTCCTCCATGTGAGCTAAATGCAGCTTACTGTCCTTAGTGCTGACCAATTAGCACTCAAAATGAAACTTCTAATGACAAATCAGCATTTCTTCCCTTGTAGAACAAAAAAGTATTTCTCTGTACATAGAAAAAGCGTTTTAAACCTGTATCTAATGACAAGCCTGGAATACCTACACAGAGTACTACTCAGTCCCTTATAAGGGGACCTAATATATACACTAAATGTCCAAAAGTGTTCAGACAACCCTGATAATTACTGCATTCTGGTACTTTAAGGGGCAACCATTGGTAACAGCAATGTAATCTATATAGAAAAGCATTGGCCATAGAGTAGGATGTTCTGGAGAGGTCACATACAAACCTGTAGTCACCATAAGCAATGGCAAGTGTCTAGAGAGGTGTGAAGTTGGAGCCCTGTTAAAGACCTTTGGGATGAGTTTGAGCTCTGTTAAAGACCTTTGGGATGGGTTGGAGCCATGTTAAAGACCTTTGGGATGAGTTTGAGCGCTGTTGAAGACCTTTGGGATGAGTTAAGTGATGAAACTCCATTGAACTCTTTTGAGGTTAGTTGGAGAGATTAAGCTCCACTGAACACCTTTGGGATGAGTAGGAGGGATGAAGCTACATTTGAGAGGTTTGGGATAAGTTGGAGCTCCACTGACCACCATTGGGATCAGTAGGAGTAATGTGAAGCTCCATTTGAGAGGTTTGGGATAAGTTAGAGCTCCACTGACCACCTTTGGGATGAATTGGAGTGACGAAGCTCCATTGAAGATGTTTGAGGAAAGTCAGAGTGATGGAAATCCGTTCAAGATCTTTGGGATGAGTTGAAGTGGTACTGTCCCAAGAACTTTTATGGAGCTCCACTGAAGTTCTTGGGACAGTACCACTTCAACTGATATTGAGTGATGAAGCTCAGTTGAACACCTTTGTAAAGATGGGGTGCCATTTGTGATCCACACTGCAAAAAAATTATATATTGGCAACTAAAAGCATCTTTAATGTTGGTAATATAACTAATATTTATCATTATGATGAGATGAAGGAATATTGCAAATGTATAATGTGTCAAAAAAGTAATGATGTAGAAAATGGTTGAATAATCATATATTATTCTTAGGACAGTGTCATAATAAGAAAAAATAGTAGACGTTTGAAATGCTTTCACTTCCAAATATATTTTTTGCACAACTGATCATCCAACATCAATTCCGGACCTCACTAACACTCTTGTGGCTGCCACCAAATCCTCACAGCAATGTTCCAACATCTAGTAAAGCCTTCCCAGCAGAGTAGAGGCTGTTACTGCAGCAAAGGGGGACAAATTCACTATTAATAGCCTTCATTTCAGAAGAAAAACAAGCATAAACAGATGTCTGGATACTTTTAGACATAGTGTATATGAATATATCCAGTATTTGCATATATATATATACATATACATATATATATATACATCTATACATTCATATATATATCTCTCAAGTGACCTCTTAGCACTGTCTGTCTCTCCTGGACCTTGTCGCTTGTTCTCAGTCTCTTTGTGTTCTGTTTTTTTTTGTACTTTGAGGGTGAAGATCTGTGATCACAAAGCAGCCTCACAGTCAGGGAACTGATTCTGGGTCACTTTAGCTTTTTTTTTCTTTCTTCCAGACAGGTACAATCAGTAGGGGTGGGGGGAGGAGGGTTAGTAATCGTGACCCAGGGTTGGTGCTGTGCTCTGGGGCACTCTGTGGGAGCAGGTCCAGCTTTGTGTCGGTGGTGGAAATGGATGACCTGTGTTACGTTCTGCCTCAGCATTAAAACTTGTCATAATTGCTTCTGTATCGCCTCTTTTTGGGTATGAGTTACAGAAAGTAGACCTCTGAAGATGGGTCATCATTCTATAGTCACCGTCATGCCCATATTAAGAGCCTATTGGGGTCTAAGTAGATTCCTCTATGGGAAAAATGAACAGCATTTTCAGAAAACGCTGCTATTGTGCCCTGTGGTAAAGTAATTATTGGACCCTCTGAATTAGGAGGCTGTTTAGGAGCCAAAACAGGAAACTAACACTGCTACATACTGAATTGACATTATAAGACTGACCTCATCAACATACCCTGCACAAACCAACATGCTGTGTCCAGTTTGGTATCTTGAAATATTGGCTTAGAATCTGAAAACAATGTCTTATTTTTTCAAACAATTGGCTTGCAGTGTAAAAATAATAAAAGAACTTCATTATTTTAATAAAATATCTCAAGATCATGTGAAAATAAAGTATTCTGAGATGCTAAGTCAGTAGTTCAAGAAAATGGGTCATTATTGTAAGATGCTAAGTCAATATTTAGAGAAAATCAGTCATTATTTTGAGTTTCTACATAAATATTTAGAGAAAATGAGTCACTGTTTTAAGTTTGTAAGACATTATTGAAAGAAATGAGTCATTATTTGAGTTTCTAAGACAATATTTAGAGAAAATGTGTCATTATTTTAAGTTCCTAAGTCAATACTAAAAGAATGAGTCATTTTGATTTTCTAAGTCAATATTTAGAGGCAATGAGACATTATTTTGACATACCGCTGACGGAAACAGAGAAGGAGAAAAACAAAGTGATTTTTTGTAGACTTCATGCAGCGTCATTTCAGTGCACAGGAGCGCTAGGTTGTTTGTATTTCGTCTCTTAAACAGCCTCATAGTTCAGAGGCTCCAGTAACACTGGGGGAACATGTTTGTAGAGCAAAACGTATCAGGTTTGAAACAATGTTTTAACTAAAGTCTTGTTTTTCTAAAGTTCCATTTATTTTTCTCAAAAAGAAAACCAGCTAAGACCTGTAGTTTCTAATATGGACCACAGAATGACACCTGACTTTAAAGGTATATGTACAAAGACATAGAGGTAAAGATGAGTTGGATGTAAAAATATTATTTGTTTGTTTTCCTCTTACTCTAAATGTAATTCATTACCCAAGACCTGTTGGCTGTGGAGCAGTGGAACTGCTTTCTCTGGAGTGATGGAGCTCCATCCAGTACCTTTGGGATGAGCTGGAGTAATCCAAAACTGACCATCCAACATCAGTACCTGACCTCCCCAATGCTCAATCAGATCCTCACAGCAATGTTCCAACATCTAGTGTGAAGCCTTCACAGAAGAATAGAGGCTGTTACTGCAGCAAAGGGGGACAAACTCACTATCAATACCCTTCATTTCTGAAGGAACTTTGAAGGAGGAGTAGTTAGAAATTAGAAACCAAACTATCACTCTAAAGAGTTTAACTGGTTCAGCTCCCATTTCTGCTTTATTTCACTTTTACTTTAGACTGAAAAAGAGAAGAACAGAACCTAACAAACTTCAGTTTCTATGCTGACAGGTGCTGGAAGTTCTAGGAACCTCCCCTGCAGGTCTAAACTCTAAAAAAAACACTCAAAGAGCCAACTGCATGCCTAAATGGATTTCTGCATGGTGAATTGGTTCTTTAGATTGATGAAGAATGTGTTGTATACGGTTCTATATAGAACCTTTTTGAGTGGTTCTATGTAGCAATAAAAAGGGTTCTGCTATTATTACGATGTTAAGCATGTAACAATATACTTATAACAATATACTGTAACAGAACACTTTTTGGTGCTTTTTCGAAAAGGTTCTATATAGAATCATATACAACACATTCCACATCAGTCTGAAGAACCGTCTCACCATGCAGAGAATCATTCACTATGTATATGCATTGTCTTTACTAAAGAACCCTTGGCTTTATTCTTTCCCTTCTTTTCAAAGTACACTGTTAGAAATAAAGGTTCTCTGCAGGTACATTTTTCGTTCATCAAGGTACAAACAATGTTAATGTTCCCTCAAAGGTACAACAGTGGGTTTAAGGTCCAATTGTGAACCTTAAATAAGTTTTTACCAGGTGAAAAGTACATATTTATATCTCCACATGTACAGCTCCACATTAATGCCTATGGATGTTATAAAAGCTCCAGTAGTTGTGATGTGTAGGTGTCCCAATACTTTTGTAGTATAGTGTAGTTTAAGACGGAATTTGTTTTTAACACATTTTAGAGTGTAATTGGCTTTCTTATTTTCATATCATAAAACAGATATAAATACAAAATAAATTTCGTACATGGAAACAAGGACACAAAGTAAATATGCAGCAAAAAAAAAATCCAGAGAAAAAAGGAACTGGTGCTCAAACTGCACTTCCGTTCAGTGTAAGTCATCAATGTAGCCACCAGGGGGCGATAGTGCACTTTACGGTTTCACAGGCAGCTGAAAGGCGAAGATCAGCAGAGCTGAAAGCGAAAGTTCAGAGAGTTTGGTGGAGCTGCAGTGTAGCAGGTAATGTTGTTGTATCCGTGTGAATGGCTCGCGTAGAAGCGTTAACTGTTTTATTATCTTGCCATTTTCTGCTGGCTCGTTTCTCCAATGGAGAATTACTGGAGATGAGTGAGGAGCTCACAGGAGGAGGAACTTTCAGACGGGGCACGAACTCAGAGCAACACATTCAAACATGGAGACAGATCCAGGTAGGAAAACTCAAACACACCTGTACAGGTAGAGCTGTAGATACTCGCTGCACACCCTCGAGACACTGTGTGATTCACTGGGGCTCTTCTGTGGGTTTAAATGTGTAAAACAGGCGGTTTTTTACGTAACCAAACTTCACTCCCCCCTTGATTTCATTAGAAACACCTACCTTGTGCTTCCACTCACTGTCCACTTTATTGGAAACACCTACCTTCAGCAACCACCAACTGGCCACTTTATTAGAAACACCTACCTTCTGCAACCACTAACTGGCCACTTTATTAGAAACACCTACCTTGTACTTACACACACCGGCCTCTTTATTGGAAACTCTAGTGCTTCCACTTGCTGGCCACTATTAGAAACACCTACCTTGTACTTAGACACATTGGCCACTTTTTTAGAAACACCTACCTTGTGCGTCCACTTACTGTCCACTTTATTAGAAACTCCTACCTTGTGCGCCCAATCACTGGCCACTTTTTTAGAAACACCTACCTTGTGCGTCCACTTACTATCCACTTTATTAGAAACACCTACCTTGTACTTCCACTCACTGGCCACTTTTTTAGAAACATCTACCTTGTGCGTCCACTTACTGTCCACTTTATTAGAAACTCCTACCTTGTGCACCCAATCACTAGCCACTTTTTTAGAAACACCTACCTTGTGTGTCCACTTACTGTCCACTTTATTAGAAACACCTACCTTGTGCGTCCACTCACTGGCCTCTTTATTAGAAACACCTACCTTGTGCTTTCACTCGCTGGCCACTTTATTAGAAACACATACCTTGTGCGTCCACTCACTGGCCTCTTTATTAGAAACACCTACCTTGTGCTTTCACTTACTGCCCACTTTAGTAGAAACTCCTACCTTGTGCGTCCACTTACTGACCCTTTTATTAGAAACACCCACCTTGTGCTTTCACTCGCTGGCCACTTTATTAGAAACACATACCTTGTGCGTCCACTTACTGGCCACTACCTTGTACTTACACCGGCCTCTTTATTGGAAACACCTACCTTGTTCTTCCACTTACTGTCCACTTTAGTAGAAACACCTACCTTGTGCTTCCATTAACTGGCCACTTTATTAGAAACACTTCGCTTGTGATGCCACTTGCTGGCCACTTTATTAGAAATACCTTCATTGTGCTTTCACTAACTGCCCCTCCACCCCACAAATGGAAAGGGACCACTGTCCAAACATTATTTTCATTGCTGGGATTTTTACATACGTCAGTCTCACTGCTGGGTTAAAAGGGGACGGTCCACCCAAAACTATACATCCCAGAGGGGCTCTGTGGTCAGGAACTGACCACTGATGAAGGAATAGAGGATGGCTAACACAAACTG